TCTTCAGCAGAGCCCTGTAGTCCAAAACAATTAATACAGTAGATTTAACAATACAAAAAGGATTATTTTGGCTACAGGCGTTTAACCAACTATGATAAAATTCAGCTTGTAATGTTAAAAGGGTCCATTAATTACATAAGGGGCTTTACGTAAAAAACAAACTCTGAATTGTTTTGCTGACGTTTTGCAAACGTTTTGCTGGCTGCATTCGCACCGCCAGCAGGAACTCTGAATTGACGTAAACCGTGCTTGTTGTGACTTTTATTTAGATGATGGGGTGGAACTTTATTTTGATGGTGAACTCACGGTGCTCGGATTCTCTGTGTTTAATAGTTTACGATCGGTCTAACAGTCCTGTCTAATACGTTATTAGATAGAACTCTTATTCATACAAAGTAAACAGTATTTGAAAGGGCACCCTCAAAGTCGCGTTGGATTTTCTCCTCAGAGTAAAGGTTAAGAGGCCCATCTATCACTGTTTTCCATGTTCGTAGATTGTGTTTCTGAGGTACATAGGCTATAATCTGTGTGTTTAGACACAGGTGGGTGCTGGTGTTTCATGTGCCTTTAGCCAATCAGCGTACACTAATGTCCTAGTAGTTTCTATAGTGTTGGGTTAGACCCTATTCTGTAGTAGGAGGAACTAAATTACTTCCTCCAAAGGGAGTTCCTAGAATTAAGATCATTCCAAATCCAGGTACTTCCACCAATAGTTCTACCGTAGGTTCCTCCAGTGCGAAAGACCCTATATTTTAAAATGGGTACTTCTGAATTGTCTTTATCTAAAAAAAAAAAAAAAACTGTCTTCTGATTTGAATTTGAATCCATTTGACTTTAAAGTGTGAGAAACGGTGTGAGATTATGACCTTCGATCCATGAAGATGGCCTCTTTTCCCTTGGTTATCTGCAGTTCATTGAGAAGTCTATCTTGTCTGTTCTCTGCAGCCACCAGTTGAGCCTTAAGGCCTACCAGTTCTTGTACCACCTCCCTTTGGTCCTCCTTCAGGTTCTCACACTTTGCCTTTATCTTCTGCTCATGCTCAATCTGCTCCATACGATGTTGCTCAATTATTGTTACCTGCTTCTCCAATTCCCTATGACACACAAATAGATAAAATGCAGATTAGTCAGTCAAATAGAGCCAGTGCTTTGCGTAACTTGACTTTGACGAGCCACATACGATTTCTTGTGGGTGACCTGGTCGATCTCCCTTCCCAGCTGAACAGGTATGAGAAGCAACTGAGCCAGCTCAGCCTGGTAAAATATATTTTTAACATTTGAAATCCCCATCCTAAATCCTCCAACCCATACAGTAGTAGTCATTAAGAGGTCTTGCTTACCTCATTGCTCTCAACACGATCTTTTAAATCCTTCAGCTCATTTTGTTCCATCTTTATATGTTTCTGTTTAGTCTCCAAGCTCGTAGTTAAAGTACACACTTCCTGATTAAGATGAACCACCTCATCCCTTACCTCATCACAACTGTTCTTCAGGTCCATGTACCTATTTTCTAGCTCCTAAATGAGGACATACACAGTCACATATGATTTTTAAACAAATGAAAGACAATAAAGAAGCTGATACAGCTGCTCATTATATTTTACAATATTAATTTTCATTACAACTTTGATTAGGATTATTATGATGACAATGATTATATGACTGATATATAGATATTGAAATTAATTAATAAGTACAAAAAGATATAATATAAAATATAAAGAGGATTTTTTTGTGTGATTTTCGTCAGGAACTTTCTTGAATTTTAGATGAAGTAGATGGATTTTACTAATCATTTGTTTTATGTTTTTTAAGGATTTGGTCTCCCTAGTGAACCAGCATGAATTGTCTGGAAAACCCAATGATGTATAAATCCAGAGGCATCATGGCCCAACGATACTTACAGTCTGTGTAGGTTGTTCTTGGTATTCTTTCTCAAGACAGAGCTTTTCCTCTTCGAGACTAAAAAAGGAGAAATACAATTCTGTGAAACAAACTTTATGCATTTTATAGAAATCAGGATGTGAAGCAATTAATGCAAAAAGGAACACAAATACGAGAGATTTACACGGTAAGCACAAAGAATATTTCACAATTATACATTTGTGGCTAGGGTTATTAAACATTTTAAATTAGGTTTGCTAAAGCTTGAAGCCACATGAACAAACATTCTAGCTGAGCATTAGTGTGAGTTGGACTGTCCCATCAAAAAAAGAGATTACAGTGAGCAAAAGTATGCTGTGCAAGGTGAATCCATGTCAGTTTGGCTAAGGATGAAGGATCTGCTCAGGACATAGCCACATGTGCAGAAACTACATCTGGCTGTAATATGCCTGCTGTATAAATACTTAACTAACCAAATGATACAGTATACATAAAATATATCTCTAGTACAATAGTTCTGAAATAAATGCTGTTGTTTTTTAAACTTTCTATTCATCAAAAGAAAATCTGAATCATTTGAGAATCACTTTATTCTCGATTAATGTCTGTTAAATATTCGGCTTTGCCATCACAGGAATAAATTACTTTTTAAAATAATGTTATACGGTATTTAATGTATTTTTGATCAAATAAATGCAGCCTGGGTGAGCATATGACAAAAAAGCAGTACTGTACATTATAAAATACAGCAGAAACACGTCCCAAGCCCGGTAAAAATCACCAGCTACATCAAAAGAATTGCAGATAGCCTAGTTTTAAGTGACTTCAGTGTACCGTTCCACTCCTAATACATATGCATTTCTTCTTTCTGCATGTTTTACATGTTTTACACACAACATGATGTGGTCCTGCAGAGCATCTTACCATTCCAACTGGAAATGCATCTGATCATTTCTTTCTTTGGACTCTTTCAGCTGGTTGTTGTACTGCAGAAGTGTCTGTTTCAGTCTGCTGGCCTCTGTGTCCGGTCCTTCAGGAAACAGCTCGGCCTTCTTCAACTCTTGCCTCTGCTTTTCCAGCTTGGTGCGTAAGGCCTTCTCCTCCAACTGCAGATGCATTTCTGATTCCTGCGATTTTCTCAAAGTTTCATTCAAGAGGTTGAAACTGGCCCAAAGACGAGCCATTTTCTCCCCACTGATCTTTCCCGTGGAGAACAGCTGAAGACAAAGATGAAAGAGACCTATCAGTGATCCAACAGCCGAATAAACATTAGCCTAAATGCATTTAAAAGCTAAACAGGTTCATGGGGATTTGCTGGGACTCATTTCAGGTGTGTAGGTTCAGGTTTTAGAGTGGATCCATATGTGTCCCACACATTAACTACATTTAAACTCCAGCATGGAAAGCTAGGATCTAAGCTTTGAGTGCTGTTTATCTGACCACTGAAGTTGAAGCTTTCAATATAAGGATCTATGATTATCAAAGAAAGTCTGAAAGTGTGTTTTTCTCCTTTATTGTGGAGACAAACAAAA